ATGAACGAATTTACTCCGAGATATTTGATGTCAGAGCTAAATGACAATTTAACTCTCTTCATGAAACGCGTAAAAAATAGAGACGGAACGAAAGAAGAAAGGTTTATGAGTCCGGATGACTTAGAAAGGGAACTTTTTAAAAACGGTCTCGGAATATATGAAATGCCAGCAGATGAGGTACAAGAAACTCCACAGGAAGAAGTTCAGATACAACCAGACATGGATGAAATAGTTCAGCAACAACAGCTAGAAGAGCCTGAAGGAAACGAACAAGTCACTCCTTTGGAAACTAACTTCACAGAACTAGATGAAGATTTGGAACAGCCGAAAAATCTTGACCCTCAACAAGAGTATGCGGAGAATATGGAATATTTCCAAGAGTCTAAAAAAATTCGGCTGACATAGTAGAAGAATATCGAAAAATGTTTGCCGACATACAAAAGACTCCAACACCAGATGAAAATATTCAGCATAGAATGGAAGTACTGAAAGAAAATGTACACAAATACAACAACCCTTTTTACTTACGAGCATTTAACGTTCAATCTTCGGATGAACTCGGTGAAAATAAAAGGTTAAATTTCAAGAAAACATATAGAAATGAAACATTGTTTAAAGTTCATTCAGAACCTAGCCAAGATGGAAACAAACCTACTTTTGTTTCTGCAGACGATGGAACTACAATGAGATGGGGTCATAAAGCTAACCCGGATAGGTGGTTCATAAACTTACAACCACAATTCCAAGAAGTTGTAGACGCAATGGAAGTCAATGGTGAACCAGATATAGCTGGTATTTTCAGCGCGGCTTTAATGCCATTGAAAGATATGAAACATGCAGATATTTTGGACCAGTATGAAATGAACATGGCTGATGGAAATATAACACCTGACGTTCTAGAACATTTATCTCAAAGAACTACACAGAACCATAGAGATGGTATATTTGGTGAAGAGTTTAGAAAGAAAGTTAGGGAGGGAGAAGGAAGAGAACCTATTGTACATGACCTTGCAAACGAAAGTTTACAAAATGTCATAAAAACTTACTTTGCATACGATGAACCGAGAAGGGATGAATATTTAAGAAAACTCAAATGGACAGTACCAAATGAAATGTTAGTATTGAAAAACATGTTCCTTGACAAAATAAAACCAACTACAGAAATAAACGACGCAAGACTGAAAGATTGGGTAAAAGCTTTCCCATTCACAAAAGATATAGTTGGTAACATGGAAAGAAAACCAGAATGGCTACAAAAACATATATTTGGAAACGAGCATATTCCATATGGACAGGCACTGTTTGAAGAGCTTGAACCGGAAACTCAGGAAAGAGTCATGCAAACAATACGCGAAGACTCAAATACAAACTATGACAAACTCTTTCTAGGATATAGGTTACCTGAGATGGGCGACCAGAGCCAAAAGGCAAAAAGGACATGGAAATTTGCAACATACTAGATGAACATAATGCAAAGATGCAACAACTTCAAGCAGAGGGCAATGAAGGAAAAAGAAGAGTTAAAAACTCAGTCAGGAAGAAAGTAAAGCTTGGTCCACGTGGGTTCTATTATGACATATAAATCCAACTATTCTATATTTTTACCCATATGAAATGTACGCCGCTCAGAATATAACGCCAACAGTTTTGGATGCCATGAATGGAAATGTTTCCGAATGGTATAACGAATGCGACAATGCCATTAGAAGGTCAGAAATAGTTCCTGGAACTTACGAATATACAACTGCTGTTTCTTATGGAAACGTAGGTGAGTTTGGAGAAGGTTCTTCAACAACAGTAGATATTGCTTGCGACAGGTTTCATATAATTTCTATTGACAACTCTTTCTTATACGTGGAACAAGACATTGAAATAAAACCTTCTGCCAAGTTGTCTGACAAGAAAGGTTGCAATGGAATTTTCTATGTCGGATACCAATATGCTCCAGAAGTTTTCATGGGATATAAGATATATTCTAACTCTGACTTAGTTCAAACAGTAACATGGGCAAACTATGAATGGTTCGCTTTGAGAAACTCAGTACAACCACAAGCTAGAGAACAAACAGACCAGTATGCCACCATTGAGAAAATAAGAAGACTTGACCCTAACGTTCCAGGAGTTTATGTTAACCTTTCTGAACAAACTGCAGCAGCAGTAACCAAAGTAAAACTGAAACTTAGAGTTCCTTTGTCATCTTTCCTCATCTTCAGGTTTTTAAGATACTTGCCAAAACTGGGCAGGAAAAATTTCTATTGAACTTACTCCAAGCAAAAATAACTTAGTCATTGCACCAACACAAGACCCATTCAGCATTACTGTAACTGGAACTGGTGGAGCCAAGTTCTGTGACTTTTGCAAAGACAAAGTTGACTTAGACTTTGGTTTCTCAAACCTCAACACTGAAGTAAACTATTATTTCAATGCTGCTGGAACTGCTTGGGACCCAGTTAAGTTCACATGCGAAAAATTTGAATGCAAGAGAATAGAAAGCAGACTTGCCGTTTATATGTTGGACCCAGATATTTCAAATGCTTTAGCTGCCAAATATATTGCAGTTCCACTTATGTTCCCTATACACCAAATATCTGTCAAAGACTTTGCAGGTGAAGTTGGAACCAAAGTGCTGACCCAGGTGCAAGAACAGATATTGCTTTAACAACTGCAATGAAACATGCAGATACTATGTTTGTACTGTTCAGACGAACTATAAATGACTATTCTTGTTTCTACAACCCTGGTATTAAATATCATATAAACATAGATGGCAAATACTATCCAAGAGAAGAATATTCTACAGTTGAGGATATGAGGTCATACAACTTGACATTAGATGCTATGAACTTTAACAACAACTTCACAACAACCATTAACCCTGAAATGCAAAGTTCTATTATGCCATATGTGAAAGTATGGACTCATACAGGAGCTCAAAAAACTCAATATACAAATGGAGACCGTTCAAACTTTTGGCTTGGCATTCCATTTGCTGACTCAGAAGACTTTATGGGTGGTATTTCAACTGTTGGTACAGTTCAAATACAATATACTGGTGACAGAGACGGTCCAGATGAATTGAAAGCAAAGAAGTTTACAAAACCAATAGCACTTTTCACGGAAGATGCTCTTTTGAAGATTCGTTCGATGAAACCTGCTGGAGCTCCTCAGATTGGCATAACGACAGCTTCCATCGAGCAGATTTTGGCAGCAGGTCAGTAAGTTGTTCTTGAACTGACTTCTCTCCGTCAAATATTGACAGTACGCCAGTTTTGACATAGTATTGTATTATAAACTTACCTTTAGAAATATCGGTCAGTTTTGTTGTTATATTTTTGTCAACGTCAAGAACTTTCACCATTTCAGTTATACCAACTTTCTTTGCTTTATGAAATATTTTGGTTCAGCAAAGACTGCTATTCTATAACATTTTCCATTGTTTGTGTAAAGAACTACTCTGTCAATGAACTTGTATTGTTTGTGTGTGTAAACTTTGTTTTGCTCAATTCGAAAGATATCCGAAACGTCCATCTTTTATTCTAAGTAAAATGTCATTTCCGAAAAATAGAAGCGTAAGTGTTTCAAAAGGTTTAATGGCGATGGCAGATGTGAAGTTAAATTCACCAACTCAAACAAACAGTCAAAGTGTTGTTGTCAATGTCAAAGAAAGAGATGTTGAAGTGGGGAAACCATACGAAGACGAAGATGGTATAACAATAGTTCCTGTAAAAGAACCAACATACCCTGAAGTTAGCAGAGACTTAAGTTCTGTTGCAGATATTCGAAACGACTACAACAACTTAAAGACAAACTTAAAACTCAGGAGAAGATTTGTCAGGCTTTGGGTATAATGTTAAACTTGGTTGAGCACAACCCTGTAAAAGTGAACTCATATGTCATTGCACCTCATGAAGTTTTGAAAGAACTATTGAAACTTTTGACAGAGGCAGACGATATAAACATCAAAGAAATAGAACCCGACATTGCTTGCTGTGGTGTTTCATACAATGTCATTGACAAGATATACGTTATGAAAGGAGGTGAAACGTTGAACTTAAAGTATAGTTTCCCAGACGTCATAAAAATATTTGACGACCACAACATTTCATTAAAATTTATTTGCTAAGTAAATGGCAGAAGATATATGGTTTATACTATTACGACTAAAAACCTGAGTCATATAATTCTATAACAACAAACTTACAAAGTCCTCAAGGACGATATTGTAAACTGACCTTAAACACAATGACGACTAAAGCTTGTTTTGCTCTTTTGACACCAGAGATTTTATTGTTGTGATGGTAAAATACTCCTTTGAAGATACTTACTCAGATATACACCAACAGGTTTTGTTGACTTATTTTAATACTTTAAGGACGGATGTAACATGTGCTGCAACTAGAGCAGGTTTCATTATGTTTGGATGTCCGACTGAGTTTAGTATAAACGATATGAGCTATATACCAAACTTATATCTGGTTTTTACTACCAACAGTTTCCTTATAACAGGAAAAGGTGTCATACAAGGAATGTCTGTTCCATTGACTTTAAGTACACCTATTTTATATATTGTTTCAAACTTAGGTTCAAAGTGTTATTCGAATGTCGACAGAAACTACTATGACCAAAAGATACTTATGCGTATAAACAATACTTTCTCTGCTGGTTTGCCTATTGTTCATTCGAATGCAGAATTTTCAACCTTAGTGAACTCAAACACTTTGGCAAGTATAACGTTGACATTAGTTGACGCAAACTTTGTTCCTGTAAAACTTTTATGTCCTATGTATTTGTCAATGACGGCAGAAAGTTTCGAATTGGAAGATGCAACTGGTGAAAGTATTGTATTACAAGAACAACTTCAACAACAAATAGCTCAAGAACAACAAATGCAACAAATGGAACAACAAAGTCAAGAATAAAAAAATAATATTTTTTTTATTTTTATAAAAATGTACAGAATAGATGTTTCAGATTTTTATGACTTCCAAGCATTCAGAAATATGTGTCCATTTAGAGACTATAACAAAGCAGTCGAGAATTTGAAACGTTTAGTCATTTATGTTGACTCTGCCCCAGAATGTTATGTCATGAAAGAATGGGATGTTGTCTTTAACAAACCAAGAGCGACAATAGTTTCAGAACAAGAATGTAAACAGAAACTTAAGAAAATAAAAGTCGTACAAGTTGGCATGAAGATGTTAGATGCTTGGGATATCTTATTGTCAAAGTTAGAAGATTTTTCAGTTCGTGGTATAAAGTTCTATACACCTTCTCCAAACTTCTATTCTATCTTCACTGGATATAAATATGAACAAGTAGAATGGAAAGAAAATATTATAGAAGCTTGGTTAGACCATGTCAAAGAAATTATATGCAATGGAAACGAAAAGGTTTATGAGTATATCTTATGTTGGTTTGCAAACATCTTACAACATCCAAGTGCTAAAAATGAAACTGCTCTCATTATAATTGGAAAACAAGGAACTGGTAAGAACACATTCTTTACAGATATCTTATGCAAACTGTTAGAAGGTTATTCGAACCCTAATATGACAAACATAGAAAACATCTGCGGTAAATTTAACTCCTCAATAGAGAATATGAAACTTATAGTTTGCAATGAACTTCAAAGTATAGATACAACAAAAGTTTTGAACTCAGATGCTTTGAAGAGTCTTATAACAGATAAAGTTGGAGTTGTTGAAAGAAAATATAAAGACCAAAGAGTTTGTGAAAATGTTGCAAACTTCATTATGGTTTCAAACAATGCTGTTCCGATGAAGTTAGAAAGTTCTGACAGAAGATATGTAGTTGTCAGAACGTCAGATTCTCATATGCAAGATACAGAATATTTTGACGACTTAGCAGAAACTTTGACATCTGACTTTTACAACCACTTGTTCTCATATTTTATGACATTAGATATTTCAAAGTTCAATCCAAGACAAATTCCACATACCGAAGAGAGACAAACATTGTTAGAAGCAAACAAGAGTGTATATGAACTGTTCATAGATGAAACTGACTTTGTGTCATTAGATGAAAGGTCATTGTACGATTCGTATAAACAATATTGTCAAGAATATGGTTATATGACAGCTTCTAAACGAACATTCTTGGCAAATGTCAAAAGTCTTTTAGACGTACAGAATGGTGTATATACAAAGAAAAATTTTTATGAGTAAATTTAAAAAAAATATTTTTTTATCCGATAGAAAAGATGACGAAATTCATCTCAGTAAATAAGTACATGACAGAAGTCAAAGATAAGTTAGCTCCATTCGCATATTTGAATGTTTACTTCTACAATTTTGAAAAGTCTACATTTGACAAAATTTGGAACATTGCACCAGTTAAGTTTGCTGTTGTTAGAAAAAGTGGTGCAACTTTTGAAGACTTAGACATAGAAGGTTTGTTAGCAGTCAAAGAAAATTTTGACAGAAAGTTCTCAAAACTCGAAGAAGGTAAAGCATACAAACTTGTTATACCTTATGAACCAAAGAAAGCAGACGACTATGAATATTATGAGTCTAAGATAGTTGAAGTTCAAGGTAAATTGGGTAAAAAGATTTTAGAGTCTAAGCCAGTGTTTGCTCCTAAAGAGGAAGAGAACATTGACATTGACCCAGAAATGTTCTAAAATAAAATTTTATTTTTACATGTCAAATTTCTTTTTCTCTGGAATTGGTTCAGGTTCTTTCTTCTCTTCTTCTACTTTCTTTTCTTTCTTTTCTTTCTTTTCTTTCTTTTCTCTCTTCTTCTTCTCTGGTGGAGTTATGTCAAATTTCTCCGAACCATATTTCTGTAAAAGTTCTTTGTCCTTTAATAGCTCATCTATTCTGTTTTCTATTTCATCTTCAAGAACAGCGCATGTGTCTTCTTTGCATTCTAAGAAGTTTTGTTGGACTTCATCTCTCCAAGAGGCGTCATCTCTGTCAACAAGTCTGTCATTGACAAATTTTAAGACTGCTCTTTGTAATGTTTTATGGTTCTTGTCATATTCCAGAAACAGAACTTTAGAACAAATTCCCCTTTCTTGTTTACACTATGTAAGATTTTATGGTCGACAGATGTTTTGCTGTCAAAAAGTTTGTCTCGAATATAGATAGCGAAATCGCTAGACATTTTCTAAAAGATAAAAATTTTAATTTTTCTAAAATATGTTAGAAAAAAAGTTTGCTGACATTGACAAGAAATTGAGAATGTTTTGAAGAAGAACAAGAGGAAGTTAGAAAATGCTCAGATAAAACCTATACATGACAAGTTCTTATTTGCTCAGAATGGTATAACAGGTCTAATTGCACCACCTGGGTCGGGTAAGACTTTCACTTATCTTAAAATGGCTGCACAACAACAAGAACTAGATGAGAAGAACCCATTCTATGAGTTAGTTGTTATTTGTAGTACTTCTGGTCAATTTGACCAAACCGTCAATTCGTTCAAAGATATTATAAAGAAGTCTAAGTTAGTATGTATAAAAGACTCTGAGTTGTTAGATTGGATAAAGAAGTACCAAAGAAGGGTTTTGAAGTATAATGCTATAAATGAGTATATAAATTCTAAGTTTAAAGACCCAAATGAGGAAATGCAGAGAATATTAGAGAAGAAACACTTCAGAAACAAACAGAAAGAGATAGAATACATTTCGAAGAAATTGCAATCGTACGATTGGAAAACGTACCCTCATAGGTGTCTTCTTATCTTAGATGACTTTGCTTCTCATCCTTTGTTAAAGAATAGAGAACAAGACATGTGTCGAATTCTTAAGAAGCTCAGACACTTTAACATCTCAGTTGTCATTTGTGTACAGACAGCCAAGAGTTTAAGTAAGGATGTAAAGAGAATACTTACTGATATCATACTTTTCCCCGGATTGTCCGAAGACGATTTCATGGAACTTATGAAAGAGTCCATGGCAGGTAAGTTTGACAGACATGAACTATGGGGAGTACAAAGTCATACAAGACCCTCATACTTCTTTCAGAATTCACATCTACGCAAACAAAGTTCAAATTGTAAAAAGTCAAGCTTGAAAAATCTAAGTGTTTAGTCTTAGTAAGTCTGTTGTGGTGCTGGGGCTGTCGGTTCTTCTGGCTTTGGAAGGCATTCAGGAAGAGGAACGTCAGTCATCCGTTTGTGTCCTGTTGGAAGGAAAAACTTTTCCTGTTGGAAGGAAGAGTTCTTCCTGTCGGAAGGAAAATTTTTTCCTGTCGGATGGAAAAATTTTTCCTGTCGGATGGAAAATTTTTTTCTGTCGGATGGAAAATTTTTTCCTGAAGTTCGACCAAAAAGTTCTCAATTTTCGAAAATTTGAATGGTTTACGGACGGACAACTGGAAAATTTTTTCCTGTCTGATGGAAAATTTTTTTCTGTCGGAAGGAAAATTTTTTCCTGTCGGATGGAAGAGTTCTTCCTGTCGGAAGGAAAATTTTTTCCTGTTGGAAGGAAGGACTCGGAATGCCAGAAGGATTGACGAGGCAATTTACCTAATTGAGCTACTTGAGCCATCTGAAGTCAAGCGTAAAAATAAAGAGTTCATCTACCCTACTTGTTTGAAGTTGTCAAAATACTCTGTTATTTTTTCCTTCAGTAGCGGTAAGTCTTCTTAAGGTAAGAATTGTACAACCTTTCATATCATAGTGTGTTTGAGGTAACGTATCTTGAACTATTTTTTCACATCTTCATTCGGTGTCATTGAAATCGGTAAGTTTTCGCGATAGAACCAATTTCTGTCAGATTTGTAAATCTTAGCAAGGTCGTAAAAGCTTTTGTTGTTTCTTCTGACTAAATGCAACATAACCATATCTTTATCTTCTTCATTTTCCATCTCTTCAGTATAAATCATATACTTATAGTCTTTTCCTTTCCTTTTGGTACCGAACGTGGTATTCTTTTCTGAATGCTTTTGTCTTTTGCTTCAAGCTTGTTCTCTAGCTCTTCACGTTCTTGTCTATGAATTTCGTCAAGAAGTCTGTAAATATTCCAAGCATAACGAGGCGAAGCCCACATTGCAACAGCATTTACAAGAAGTCTATGTACATAATATCCTCTCAAACCGTTTGGCAATTTTCACGATTTTCATAGAGTTTTGGCGACTGGGTTTTTTTACCTACTCGCTGTTCTTCACTGTTTTCATGAGTTTTAGGCGACCCAGAAAAAAGTATGTCTCGCTGTGCTTCATTTAATAGTTCTTGTGTGCTTTGGTTCCTAAACCAGTCTTTAGGAAGCTTAGTATCTGGAGCAAAACATGCTGTCAAAATACTTTGCATTTGGTACATATCGTCTTTGACCGAACGAATGAGACGGAGTTGTTTGTTAAACTGAACCCACTCATATTCTTCATTTATAGCTTCATGGACTATAACTGTTGTTGTGTTCTCTGTGTTGACATATCTGTCTTTACATACAAATAAAAATAAAAAAATAAATAAATTAACTTTATTTTTTCTATCTTAAGGAAATTCATGAATTTTGTTGCTGAATTCAGCAAAAATAATGTTTAGGGTAGAAGGTTAGATCTACCCTCTTTTCTACCCTCTTGAATTTTCATGAATTTTATATATTAATGTTTTGTCAAGACTTCTTCGTAAATGTTTTGTCAAGACTTCTTCGTAAATGTTTTGTCAAGACTTCTTCGTAAATGTTTTGTCAAGACTTCTTCGTACATGTTTTGTCAAGACTTCTTCGTATATGTTTTGTCAAAACTTCTTCTTCGTAATGAGCGTAAATGACCAAAAAATAATGTTTAGGGTAGATGGGTAGATCTACCCTCTTTTCTAACCTGTTTTCTACCCTCATTATTTATAAGCGTTTTACATGGTAAACGTTATGAATTCGTGAGACTATAAACAATTTCGTAGCTTCTATTTCTTCTGTCAGTACATCGAATGTTTTAACGATACCGAAAGTTTCTTTATACTTCTTCTTGACGTCAGATAGAAGGAAATCTTCTGCTGTTGGATAGTTTTTGTTCAGAAATTCTAACATGTCCATTTTATCTTCTGCTGGCTTTTCTGCTTCTTTCTTTAAGTCTGCATAGTCGTTTCTCATACGTTCTATCTCTTTGACGGAGTAGTTATATTTCCTCATTGCTGCTTTACATTTAGAACATTGCGGGTTCATTTTTGCGTTATATTCTGAAACCTTGCCTGCTAAAACAACTAAGGCGTCAATGGTTTTCTTTAACTCAAAAGTTGTTGGTTTTATTTGTTCGTTCCATATTTTACATCTTTTATCTTTATCTCTTATCTGCCATACACATTTTGCAACTAATGAAACAAAGTTGTCGTAGGTCTTAAACTCCCCGGATTTATATATGTCAGAAACATTCTTATATAACATGTCGCAATCTTTGTCCATAACCTTATGGTTGCAATGAAAACCAAGGAATTCATAGTTTACCTTTCGTATGAACTTCTTTATTTCTACTGAGTCAGTTGCTTTGACTTCTATTTCGTCAAATTCAGGAATAGTTAGTTTTTGTTGTTGGATTTCAGGCAATTTGGGTAAATGGTCAATAATGTCCTGCATTTCATAAAGATACTGTTCATTTGTTTCATCTTTCACACTACAGTCTAAATTACTTGTTAAAAGTTCTTGCTTTATCTTCTGGATTGTTGTTTCGAAAGTAAACGAATCTGGAATGAAGCTTTTCATTTCTACTAACATTGAAGTTGGGTTCATGACTAACGAGTTTGGTGCTGTAGTTGTTTGTATTGTTGTTGTGCCGATTGTTGAAATCATATTTTTTATACAAAATAAAAAAAATAAATAAAATAAAACTAATTTTATTTTTTATTTCGGGAAAATTCATGAGGTTAGAAAAGAGGTTAGAAAACAGGGTAGATCTACCCTTCTACCCTAAACATTATTTTTGGTGTAAATTTCATGATTTTCGAGAGTTTTAGACCATGTTAGAAAACGTGTTAGAAAACGTGTTAGATCTAACATTCTAACATAAA